CTCTCTCTGATATACATGTATATATTTATCTATCTATTTATCTACCTAATTATCTATCTATTTATCTATCTGTCTGTTTATCAATCTATCTCTCCTTAACGAAAGCAGTGCATGGTCTTGCTAAGACAATCAAGTGTTACGTATCATAGAAATGTAGATGAATATAACAGTGTGGCCTCTGGCGTCATGGAAAACGATCATAAAGCAATATGTGTGATACAGTTTTGTCTTGGCAGTAGGTGTAGAGGAAATCATTGTCTAAGTACTACTTCCCTGAGGGTGTGGTGGCGGAGCGGTTAGTGCGCTCGTCTCCGAAGCGGAAAGTCTGGGTTCGAGCCTCGGTTGGGACACGGGTTTTTTTTCGTCCCCTCCTGCCCACCCAACAGTAATGAGTACTTGACTTCGAGTTGGGGAAGTAAAGGTGGCGTGGAAAGGAACTGGCCACCCTTCCACAATATGCCGAAGACCCAGGAAGTTGTCTCACTAACAAGGCAATTCCCAATGTCCGGATCGGAGGCGGGAGCAACTTTACTTTTTTACTACTTTCCTCCTTTCAGACCTTGATAAGCTTCTAAGGAGGGAAACGTGGCCAGTACGTTGACATCTATACGTTCTTAACTACATGCGTATCTCTCTGACCGTCTAGGTTAACATGATCATAAAATGGAGTCACTGCAAAAGGTGGAACACATCTGTTGGCGTACATGGTGCTGTTGTCCTTACTTATACACCACAACTTCCATAATTGTTCAATAGGTGGAGACGATCAGAGACGTTTGTAATATTGTGGTATCGGAGATATATTCATAAACCAATACCTCTGTATCTATGACCAGGTGGAGACATTCAGGGACGCCAATTATTATACAATTGTTGTGTCGCCCTTCATATACCCTGGCCTCTTTTCTTCAATTGCTCTTTCTTTGTGACCAGGTGGTGACGATCAGAAACGCCTCGTATATGGTGGTATCGGAGATATATGTGAGGCAGCGTGGTGGAATCAGGCTCTCGTCAAAATAATGAAATCGAAGAAAACAGCATTTTCTCCCTGCTTAACAAATTTTATCAAATTTTTTTTTTTTTGCTCAACACCTTTTATGTCCATTTAAAAACCCATTCCTTTGAGGATTTCACGGAAAACGTTGATTAAATGCACAAAAATATAAATTTACAGTTTCCATGGACTCTCTAGCTTTGGAATTTAACAAGCTTTGGCGGCCATTTTCTCGCTAATTTTACCTCTTAAATCAGGTGAGCCCCACCTCCTTCAATCCAAAATATCTCCACTTCTATTAAAGATGGATGGGTATTTTTTTTTTATTGAAAGCAAGACAAATGAACAAGCTTTAAGATTATACCTATAACTCAATATGCCCAAAAATTGACGAGAGCCTGATTCCACCACGCTGCCTCACATATTCATAAACAACTACCTCTGTATCTATGACCAGGTGGAGACGATCAGATACGCTTATTATATGGTGATATCAGTGATATATGACAGTTTGTGAGCTAGGAGTAGAGTACAAATCTAGTGATTACACTCAAAAACGTCTTTTCAAAACTGGTGACGTTATTGTCAAAAAAAAGCAACATAAACCAATAACTGTGTATCTATGACCAGGTGGAGACAATCGGTGACGCCTACATGGTGGTGTCGGGTCTGCCAGTTAGGAACGGCGTGCTGCACGCGCGGGAGATCGCCCGGATGTCTCTGGCCCTGCTCAAGGCCATCCATAACATCAAGGTCAGGCACAAGCCCGACTACCAGCTCAAGCTGCGGATTGGGATCCACTCAGGTTTGTGTTTGAAGGAATGTTGTTCGTCGTTGTCATTAGCTATTTATGTCATTGTCGATTTTGCTCCTTGTTTCCCTTGTTTTTTGCCCCCAACTGGCAATCAAACTTTATACGGGGTGCCCACTACAGCGTGGGATCGCCCGACTCGATCGCCTCAAAAACAAACGTGTTTGTTTTTAGTTTCAGGCGATCGAGTCGGGTGATCGCCCCGATCCAGCCATAGTGGGCACCCCGTATTACACTTATTTTTGGCTTTCAATACAAACCGAAAACCTTATGTAAATTCACCTCCCTCCTAACCCCCCTTTTAAACTCTTTCAATGCTGAGCGCTCCAGCAGTGAACCCCGCCCATATAGATCTACTGGGCAGTTTTGTCATGGCAACATGAAATTAGGTCTACCCAGGGAAAACACAAACAAAACTAGCGAGCTCAGTGGCTGTTCCGGCTGAAAAAAAAATGTCTCCTTGACCTTTCCCATGACATACATCACTATTAGTTTTAAAAAACTTAGTATGGATTAGAAAGAGTAATTCTTTCTATAAAGATAGCGAGGCAGAATGTGAGAATACTCGTCGCTAGTACGTGGATGGGGCCCAGGTCTCGCGAATATTTTCGTCTGTAGCACTAAATGAGTTTTAAAAATAAGCATAAATATCATAAGCAACAAAATTGTTTTTGTTTCATTTAGTAGAGGTTTTACGGCGCTCGCAACTGAATACGGTTATATGAGTGTCGCAAAATTGTTTCAGCAAGCTTAGTCTGACATTTAATTTGTTATGACCTGCAATTTTTCGTTAACTAAGTTTTAAATTTGTATAATCCACCCATCCCCTCAGGCTCTGTGTGTGCTGGTGTTGTGGGCCTCAAGATGCCCCGCTACTGTCTGTTCGGAGACACTGTCAACACTTCCTCCAGGATGGAGTCCAATGGTGAACGTGAGTATCACATGTGCGATGATAATTAGGGCCAAGGTCTTGCAGGGGCTCTGTATTCTCTCTCTCCCTGTATCCCTCTCGCTGACTGCCTACTTCATCTATCTATCTATCTATCTATCTATCTATCTATCTATCTATCTATCTATCTATC